ATCACAGCTAACTGCTCCTGACAGACACACACCCAACCTTTCCTTAAACACAGGCCATAATCGATACTCCACCACCTTCCCAGGCAATCCATTCTAATGATTCCCTCGTTCTTCACCAGTATTTTACTTACTGTTTCACTTTTAATCAATCTTCATGCAGTTTAAACACATCATTTCTTGCCCTACACAGCATGAACTCAACAAACAAAATATTCCCTCCCGTACAAAAGCATTTTACATGTTCTGTCTGAGGAGTTCTGCCTTTATAGGTTATGAAGACAGGTTCCAGGATCTCTGATCATGTGGCAGATGCTTACAACACGCTACTGAACTTTTTGCCATACTGCCTGCAGTCTCTCCAGGCTGCTGATTGCAGAGTAGTCCCAACCAGATGTTTTGTCCGAGGATTTACCAAAACTTAGCTGAGCCACAAGATTACTTCACCTGTTCTGTGGGCAGTATTCCTCATTAAACATCATATTGTCAGTATCAAACAGTAGGTCTCTATTTAGTAGGTATCTACTGGGCTTGTGCACCAATATAGCTCTCCATCTGCCCCTGGCCAGCCATTCATTCCCCATCTCAGATTTCAGCACATCATTCTTCCTCCCATACTCTGTTTTTCCCTTTATGTCATCTCTGTACTGCATCCTACAGCTTTCCAATCATTCTTCCTATTTGTCAAGAGCATTAAGAACTCTAATAATGCCTTTTACCGTCTGCCAGGCTTTCCAGTTTCTGCACCTGCAGTTTTAAAACATTCCTCATTTCATCCCACAGCACATTAAAGGACACATTGAACACAGCCAAGCCAAGAGCAGAGAAACTGAATTCCCATCTGAAACATTTCACCAAAAATATTGATAAAGGCTTCCACGGAACTGGTTCCAAAGACTTCTGGGCCTGATGATTTCCTATCTTGCTTATGACCATATCATCATAACTCACTTTCAGCCACCCTTTCAACACATCATGTCTATTTAGCACACCATGACAGGAAATCCAACAGTTTTGATGTGACTGACTTTGAGCACCTTCATGTCAGCGGTGTTCTCTTCCATCATCTTCCAGTGCTCCCACTCCCTCTCCATTCTTTCTGTATTTAAATACAGCAAAGCCTTCATGGAACTGTGGGTGATACTACGAAACTCTCAAAAATCAGAGCAAAACTTAGAACAAATTACAGCCAAGAAGATTACAGGGTTGGAGGGAATGTTTTTTTTTTTTTTAAATCATTGTTGCTGTGCCTGTTTCAAATTAGGAGGAACCGTTTTCAGGAAGCGTGGTGTCAGCTGAGCAAACAGCACAGATCTACTGCAGCTAAAGAGAAGAGCAGGCGGGAGCGCACTGCAGAACAGGGAGCGGTGGATTCGTTCTGTCTGATCGCCGCACACAAAACTTTGACGTGCCAAACTCCTACCTTGTACCAACATCAGGAATGTACTCTGACTGCTGATGAACCCAGAACTTCGTCATGCACAAAGGCACACCACCAGGCAGTGTTGTAACCATGGTTCGACTTTTGGAGCTCTCAGATTCTTACTTAACCATGAAATATGATCTCTTTGAAATGCTGTTTTGTTTCTACAGTATTTGTACATCGTCCAAAAACTGAAGAAATGTTTGTTTGCAGACAAGGGCAGCGACCATTTATGGACATTTGTCCTGGCCTCGCTGTGTTAGCTGGAGCTGGTCAGATCTGCTCTCCCAGCTCAGCACTGAAGCACTGCATAACCCAACACGTCGTGTTCAGGGAGCAGCATTTGTGTGACCCCATCTGCCAACAGAGCTGTGGAACTCCTAGCTTGTGAGTGAGGCTGAGCAGCTGGGATAGTGCTGACTTCAGGCAGCACTGCTGCTTGCAAAATTCTGGCGTTTCTGTAGCCTTTCAGGACAGGTCACAGAGGAAACAATGCCACCACTTACATTACAGTAGCAGAAGGTAAGAAGGTACAATTTCAGCTTTCTGCTCTCAGGAAACATCTACAAAAATAAGATACCACAAAAGCTCATTTCGTCGCTAGCATCTGCAGTGGTGATTCTGTCATCAGAAATGAAAGATGAAGCAGAGTGAGAAAAGGCCAGGTCTGAATCCTACATAAACCTCAAGAAGTGCTGCATAATTGGAGAGGCCCCTTCTCACCACAGAGAGATGTGCAACTCCTTCAGCCAGGGCAGCACCCTGGGCTCTGTGGGCCAGCCAGCAAACAGAGCATGGAGGGCAGAAGCTCACAGTCCTCCTACAACCCCTGCCAAACCACAGCAGATATCTGCATGCTTCTCATGGAGAGGCAAAAGGGATGGTAAACCTTGGAAAAAAAGCTGAAATCCAGATCATTTTCAGATGACGCTTCATAATATTTGTAGATCTACAGGAAAGTTCTGTGGCTCAGCTGCACAGCACACAGCTTGCTGGCAGTGCCCCACCCTCAGCTCTGTGCTGGGCGTCCTGGGAATGCCACACTCCATCTGAACATCACTTTGGGTGCCACAATAAGAAGGAAGCCCACACCCAGCTGAGTTACATCAGCAGTGGACGCGCACCAGTAAGTGCCACTAAAAGTAAAGGTCCAGATTGTTGCAGGTGGGTATTATGGCTATGTGCTGTCTCTGCTTTTTCCTTCTGGAAGCAATGAGCAAAGCATTTGTGCAGGTAATGCCACCTTCCTGCTTTTGTTCTGAAATGGCAACTGAATGCATTTTACGCATGAAATACGGAGCACAAATATTGTTCCATCGAGGGGAAAACATTATGGTTGTAGAGAATTCAAAAAATAAGTGGAGATTAAACGGCCAGTAAGTCTCAAGTGTTGGTTCTAATAGCACTACATCACAAATATTCTTGCATACTGATGCACTGTCTTTCACCACGGATTCTAAGTGCAGACTGTGGGACTGCTCAACAGTAACAGAGCAGGAGGCCAGAATTCTGAAAGACCTGAGAGAATTGTGCAGAAGAACTGAAGGAAAAAAAATAAAGCTTCATTCAAGTTCAATCTGTGCTGTTTATCCCGGCCTCACACATTTATTCACAGCCTCCATGTCCCTATGCCTGCTTATCCCTGTGCTGCAGTGACTCACAGCCGATGCTCAGCATCAGTGACACAAAGGGCTGCACTCAGTGCCCTCCTGATGAGCACCGAACACCCAGAGCACCGTGAGGAGGAACAGCTCACCACAGGGTGGAGGGGAATGGGACAAACACCTGCTGCTGGGGGCAGTGCTGCAGCACAAGGGCTCCTTGGCTGTGGCCCCCAAACACCTGCGTGAGCTCTGCCAGCCCCAGCCATGAGAGAACACACCTGTCCTGCATTGCACAGGGCAGGGATCACTCGGTCAGCCAGGCATAACTGCCAGGCATTGCAAACACAAATGGAAAACATTCCTTCCTCGGCTGCAGAGAAGCCCATTTCTGCCTCCCCATGATGGGAATCCATTTTACACAAGGCGGAGCAGAAATTGCAACTGTTTCATCAGAACTGCCATCAGATACAAACCCCAGTGCAACAGGAGCAGCAATATTGTAACAGCTCGGGCTGCTGTCCCGGCCCACAGGGTTGCAAGCCCTGTGGATCGCCCAATACAGAGCAGCAAGCGCCCAGATAGACTTCATTATAACAGCATTTCAGCCAGATTAATGCAAAATACAAGTGTTCTTGCAAGAACATGCTGCTGTATGCTGGCAAACTTCCCCGTTGTCTTCTCCGGGGTGTAGCAGCACTGAGACGGAGGTTCAACAAAACCTCAGAATGATTTCACTTTCCTGAAAGAATAAATGCTGGAAGGCACTGCTGGATTGTCACCTCCTGTCCAAAGCTGCTGAAGAAAATGGGTCTGAGCTGCTTTACTGAATGTACCCATCTGATCAAAGCAGCACAGTGCAGGCAAAAAGGAAACTCCTGCCTGCAGAGCTTGCTTCTGGTTTAAAATCAGCCCCCAATCCATTTGTTAACAGCAACAGGGAGATTTCCATCTCTCAGGAGGCCACATGGTCCCACTGCCATTGTTTCACTCCTTCGATACAGAGAGGTGGGAGCTGCTGTGCAGCTGTATTCACTGCCCATCAAAGACATTCAGAGCTCTTCTCTTGCCAGGATTTTCATTCCTCCTTCATCGTCCTCCTCCCATCCTCGCTGCTATGATTCAGCTTCACACTGCTTGGGAGCCACCAACGCACCACCAAGGAGTGACAGCCAGGCTGCAGTCCAGGCTCCAGGTGCAAGGAGAGCTCCCGGGCTGCAGGCATGCACTGCATGGAGCACAGCATCCTCACCGTGCAGGCCCTGCAGGAGGGTGCTGCTGGAGCAGGCACAGCCTGCCTCTGCCAGCTCCTCAGGAGGTCTCACAGCCTCCCATCAGCTCCTTCCTGCACAGATGTCTTCTTTCCAGGATGGAAAGATGCCATTCTGAGAGGCTAAGATGCCTTTGCCGTGGTGCTGGTGCCTGGTTTCATTGTTAGCACATGGTTTCCTGGCTTGCTCATACTTCTGAGTTCTCCTTCAGTGTCAGTGGAGAGTTCACCTTCTGGTTTTGCTTTAATTTGATTTCCTTGGTGTCCTTCCCAAAGGTTTGGGATTCCTGCCCAGCACACAGATCTGTTGCATTTGCCATGGTCCTACACTAATGCATTAGCACAATTAATAGCACAGACCTACAGAACTGTCCTCCTCATGAGCCGTATTTCTGCCTCTTTCCTCCCCTGTGCCGATGGGTGTGCTGGCACAGCACTGAAGGAACAATGCAGTTCAGGTTAGAACAACCAAAGCACACCAGTGGGGTCTCAGCACAAATCTTCCACTTCTCTAAAAAGCTTCTCTTCTACCTCAAACAGCATTCAGTGATGACTTTTAGAAGCCAGCACAGGACGCTGGAATTAAGGAATTGCATACAGCTTCTCACCTTTGTTTTGTAGAACTTCCTCTGCCTCCCATGGGCCCAAACCACCTCCAGGTGGCTCCGAGGGGTCACTGCAGAGCACTGCAGCATTTATTGCTGTCCTGCTCAGCTCCATGAAATTGTCTGCAGCCCTTCTGCTGCTGCTGGAGGGGAGCGCTTCGAACTCCAGGTTCAAATCCATGGCATACATGTGTGTGCAGTGCCACTGGAAGGCCTAGCAGAGAAAAATAATTGTTTACTTGTTAGAGTTTGTGGTATTTGAGATCAATACAAAGGCCTCAGCTGTAGGTTTAAAAAAAAAAAAAAAAAAAAAAAAAGGCAGTTCCACGTTCCATTTCCTTGACTGCTTTGTCATGTGTTGGAATTTACTTGGAAACTAGAGAAGCAAATCAGCAAGGAAGTCCTCCTGCTTTTCTCTTTTTTGGTCCAGTTCTTCTCTTTCTACTTAATTGTAACACAACCTTCTGTTAACATCTTCTCTTCTATGACTGACATCTAACTGGTTTAATCTGAAATGGAAAACCAGAAAGGGAGCATTAGAGTCATAGAATCATAGATTCTAATTCTCCCTTTCTGGTTCTAATTTCTACTGGTTGTACATTTCAGTTTCATTCTGTTGTAGCCTACAGTCTGAAGTCAGGCTGTTACCCATGACTTACACGCATTGCCCACTTACAATCCAGCTACAGAGCATGACAAAGATCAGTTTTTGGAAATAAGCAATTATTTCACTTTGCTATTTCCCCAGTCACACAGGAGTGTGAGAGGTGTTCTCCTCTGAGTGATAAGCCATCCTGCACACAACTCTCTAAAATGGTGGAAATCCCAATTTAAATCTGCTTACATTTGGAAAGAGCCATTATACCAAAAAATAGTAATTATGGTAACAGCCATGCTTGGGATGCCGGTAACCAAAGCTCCCAATAAAGCTAATGAAAGAGCTGGCAGCCGCTCACCTCATCTGAAGGGAAGATATTCTTATACATCTCTATGTAACAACAGTATGAATAAATAAAATAATAATAAAAAGCCATCGCCAAAGATGAAATGCTGCTCTGCGTGTCCTGAGCAAGAGCAAACCGCGGTGAAATCAGACGCAGTCAGAGGAAGCCGGCTGCCCACGCTGTGTGGTGTTGCAGCTTTGGCTTTCTGTTGGAAGCAATTGGAGAGCCTGAGAGTTCACTGGACACCTGATGTGAGGAGAGAACAGAAATGGCTCTTCAGGCCAAGGAGCTGGCTGGAAAAGCGCACTTGGAATCTTCTTGCTCTTGCTGCCCTTCACAGTGTTTACAGAAGCTGAACTTTTAGCACCTGTAAGTAGGAAGGAATGAGCTGAGGAAAGATTTGACTTCCATCATCATTTTTCATCTCTTAACAGAAAGAATTCTGTAAGCCTTCAAGTATTGCCAGGGACCAAGAGGCAGCACTGTCTGATAGCAAGCTGTCTTCTGAGCACCACCACCTGATTTCTTCACTGGTGTTCATTCCACACTCCCAAAATCCTCATATGCACCGGTGCCAAACTCACCCATGTTATTAAGTTCTTTTCTCTTTTTCCATGCCCTTGGTTCCCTTCCATTCTCCTAATCATGGCCCTGGCAGCTGCACTTGAGGCAGCTGGGAGCTGACACAGCCAACAAGCCAAGCAGAATAGATGCACCTGAGCTCACACCACATCCTCCCCTTCCTGACAATATTGCTTGAGGTCTCTCTCATCATCACCACTGATTGCACAAAGCTCTGCTGTTCAGCCACACCTGAGTGAAAGGAAGAGTGGTTGGAAAGGGACGGGGAGACTTACTAAATAGGAGTGAGAAGAGAGAAGCAATATAATTCTACAGAACCCTTTTAGGGAACCAGGTTAAGAGATGTTGACAGACAGCAGCTGTTACATTCTAAGCAAAGTAATGCTGGCATTTAGCAAATCAAAAACAAACACAATGCTCTGAAACATCAAGAGACAACAGCTAAAAAATGTCCCTTGTTCAAATATTTGAGAAGAGCACTGTGGAGTTACGGAGTATTTCTGCTGGGCTGCAGCCACCCAGCACTACGAGCTGAGCATCGTGGGTTAATGACAACTCTTCGGGGGCTGGCAGCACTGCATGAGTGCAAACCCAACTGAAATCTGAGTTCCACGTTCCCCTCTCCTTACAGCAACCATTGCCTTTTCCTGCTGAACATTTAGCTCATCTTTCTGTACAAAACAACTTGTGATGTTGAGTAAGAATACGCTTTGGGCTTTTTATTAGCATCTAATTGCTACCAGAACATGACCTTGCTTGGCTGGCTTGTTCCTTTCTGAATGGGGCTAATTATGTAACTGCAGCCCCGGGGACTTCTCTCTAGCTGTAGGATACCAAGATAACTGAAACGAAATCTGGGGAATGGTAAGTAAATGGAAACAAAAGGATAACCAACGTTTCTGTGTTGTTTGTTTGCGATTTGTTTTTAACTAGATCTGAGGTAAGACTCATCACCTACTGAAAGGCCAGAGGAGGATATTTTAGAGATTGATACCTCTTCAGTGCCAGCCTGTGCACAGCAAGAAGAAATACGGGTACAATATTTATTTGCTCATTAAAACTCTACAGACAGTAGAGAAGCATAGCATCTTTGCCTTCTATGTCTGAGACAGCAATTCCAATGGCAACTAATTGTTAGCAGAAACAAATAGCTGCTATTATTCAAAATAACTTTGTGAAGTACAAGATGTGCAATTTCCATGCAGGCAAACTTTTTTTGTTTCAAAATGTTACTGTCAGACATGTCTTCATAGTAAACCGTTGACTCAGTATTTCTGTATTCGAGACTAATTGATTTCTGGAGGAAGAAGTGAAACAGAAAACTGCTGTAGAACCAATCTGTTATGCACTCACCAGGAAGCCAATACATCCTGGTTTTATCATTCAAATAAGGAATTATCTCAGCAAGAGGAAAGATTTTTTTCCCCCCCCCAGGTATTTAAATGGTGGAAACAAACCAGCTCACCCAGTGCCCTTAAGCAGGGCTGAGTGCTGGGTTAGGTCCCCAGGTTCATTAAGTGCCCTCGAACATCAACACGGAGAGAAAGAGAGAGAAAGGCTGCAGAGCCACCAAAGCTGGAAGTGGAACCTCTCTGACTCAGCTTTACAGCATGCCCAGACAGGCGAGTCTTACTTTGGTGGTAAGGACAGGTCTATGAATCCTCCCCCTCCTCTGCATTTCTTTTTTGTTTTTGTTTTTCTCCTCTGATACGCGGAGCTTGGATTAGCACTTCAGTCACACAGCAACTGTCTTCAAGAGAAAGGAGTTCCCTCAACTAAGCTTTCTAGACAACTTCTGCAACCATGTCCTGCAAAACAAAGCTGTCAGAGGCAGTGCAGGAAAGGGCTGCATCCTGCCAGGCACCGACACTGCACCCAGCTCTGCTTTGCCCTCTCTCTGGGGTGACCCTGTGAGAATCAAGTGTTGTTTCTGCATTAGAATTGTGTAATATTATTTTTATTTTATAATCTCCACTATCGTAGTTCTTTTTGGGAGTCCCTCTACTTAACTTGGGGAAGATCTCTGATAAGTTTACATCAGTTATCATATAGACGAACATTCCCAGGAACGCACACTCTGTATATAGGTGTATAGATGTCTATTTTGTCAAACACACTGCAAGAATATCCTGCACGAGAGCAAACCAGAGAACAAGTCATGACAGCCAGAGGAAGCGCCTGACATTGGGAAGGCCTGGCATCATCCCCCCAGTGCTCTTTGTGTAACGATGATGACTTCAAAGAAAATCACCATATCAATAGGACAAGGAGAGCACCGAGACATCTTGGAAACAACAGGATGACTGCTGACTGACACCAGATAACAAATAAATGAACAAGTAAATAGCAAATGAAAGCCTTCTGATAAGACTGAACTTGGAATACTCAGCCACTGGGGAAACAGGGGAGAGGGAAGGCAAGGGGGAGGAAACAAGGTATAAAGGCTGTCACGTTGTGTCCATAGGCGCGCTCCTACTTGCAGGTCGCCCGCCATTGCAATCGTGAATAAATTCTGCTTTTATCAGAGATACCGTCCTGACAAAATCACTTGGATTACTTCCAACAACCCCTTCCTTCCACAGTCTGCTCACTGCTGCCTCTCGGACCAAGCTGCTGCTTTATGGCCACTGGAAGCTCTGAGTACTCAGTGCCTCTGAACAGCCAGGGCTGAGATCTTAGCTGCACTGAGGAATCGCTGGGTCAAAGGTAAAGGTACAGCTCCAGTCTTTTTGATCAGTGAAACAGCCAAGCTGGCATGAGCCCCGGCACAGGGCGTGATGTGGGATCTGGAGTTCAGTCTATTGTGAGCTTCTAATGTGGCATGTGGGCACATACGAGTTGCCTCCATGCTTTGATCATCTCTGCTTATTGGAAAACAAGATCATCTGATACTGCCCTGCTGAAATTCTTGGAACCACGGATATTGAGCTCTTTAGTAAAGGATCAGCAAGATTAACGTGTAAGCTTTGGCCAGCAGAATTTATCTTCAGTAGGAGAATCTCACAAGTTCCAAGTCCCTTACAGTCATTAGAGATGCACACTCATTTTCTGGCAAGTGCAAGAGTGCTCCTCTGACTTTGCTCCGGCATCTCATAGCGTGATGAAAAGCACAGCGACAGCAGAGCACCAAAATCCCAGACTGCAGCAAGTGAGGACTTCCTCAAATGCAACAGCTGTGGGCACAGAAACAGAGAGATGAAGCTGCTTACCTTCAGAAAGCCCCAGGTAGAGAGAGGTCTCAGCAAAACACCCTCACCTCTGCTGACAACCCTTAAATGAGGTCTGTGCAGGGGTGGATCCTGGCTCCATCCCTTCCATCACTCAGTGCATTGCTTGCACCTGATCTCCCCTGGGCTGGCCCTGCCTTCCCACCAGGTGCTCCATCACTGCCTCAGGTCATGACTCAGCATTTCTACTCACATCTCCTCATTGCTGTACCCTACAGTAAAGTAAGGAGTGTAACACGCTATAGCTGTTTTTTGAGAATGCTTTGGGACAGAAGTATGCATTGAAAAACATGGAAACGATTTTGGAAATGAGCTGATACACTGCAGGTGTATTTAACCACATCAGCTGTCAGAAAATGCATGTCTAAAGCAACACACTTTGGAAGTGTTTAGTAGTACAGCAGGGAAGTCACAGGATCAGTGTGCTCCAGGAATACCCCCAGTGATTTTGGAAGTACACCACAACAATTAACACCTCTGAAATAGCACTGTTTGTAAATGGCATCATGCAGTGCGGACCTTTTGTTCACAGCAGACAGCTCGGTTGCAGTTTCAGCCTCTTAAATGAATCATTCCAGTACTGAGACAGCTATTATTAGGATGTTCTGCACTGGAAAAAAGTTTTGTCTCGCAGCACTTGTGCAATGCTGCCCTATATATTCCTCCCCACCCTCGCATGCTGATAGCACACAGCCCAGCTCAGTGGCTGGGAGGTCTGTGTCCTGTGTTCCACTCTGCTGGAGGCTGAGCAGGGGGGATGTTTGGAGGTACTGCCAGTTCTGCCTTCTTTTAATTGCAGGAAGTATCTCTTCATTATGGTTTTCGCTTTGTGGTTTTGTACTGTTCCCGCATTACTGCCTTTATCAGCCACTGCCATCGGAACAACTCATGTAGGTGTTAATTCATCCTGTGGTGGAAGTGAAACGCTTTGCCTTGTGCTGCCTCCACCACGTATCTCCCTCTGCGCTGCTGCCAGGCTCACTGTGATGCGCCCCTCTGAAGGGGAGCTCTGGGAATCTGTCTGTGAGCAGAGGAGGGCAGCAGCACGATTCCCAGCTTCCAATGGGCTTCCAGGGATTCCTCTGAGGGAAATGCATCTCTGGGTGCTGCTTCCTTGGCTTGCCCAATTTGTGACACTTGGAGACACACGATTCAAATCTTACAGAGCATGAAGCGAGAGGTATTCACAGAGCAGTACCTGTCCTCTTTCATCAGTACATTTCCAAGAACTCTCAGCTGCTATCACACTGTCAGGTGTCCGCTCCCATCTGCAAGCCTGCCAGTCTTGTATTATGGGGCACCACATTTGTCCAACTGAAATGGCAGAAAGGATTATTAATGTCAGACATAACACAGTGTCCCAGTTTGGACTATCTAGATAAGCCATGTGTTGTATATGGGGGTGTGGAAAATCACACCTGGGGGCTGTGGAGAGACAGACATCAAAGGTGAATCCAAACCCTGAGGTTGAGATGAGGGAGTCAGAGACTGGAGGAATCCATGGGTGCTCCTGGGCAGGGGGCAAAGCGGGGCCAGCAGCTGGGTGAGCAGAGCTGCTGCAAGAGCACTGGCAGAATGAGAAAGGCATGCCATGAGGAGCTGCAGTGGAATTTCCTCTTGTAACATCAGTGAGGAAGACCATGGGGGTGGATCATAACCTGATCAGATTTTCTAATACTTATCTGCCTGATTTGTTCTAAATTTTCACTTTCTCTGCCTCAATAAGCAAATATGCCTCTAACTGAATAGCGGGTCAAGTTCTGTTTGTCAATTTAATTTATTTTGGATACAACCTGTAGATTAAAACCTCCAAGCAAAGAGTGGGAAGAGGAAAAATAGGCTGAATATGGAAGTAAGTGATCTGAATACATAGTTGGCAATCTGGGTTTGGAGCATCCCTTGTAAAACCTGCCACTCGTTGCCATTTGACCTTGTCTGCAAGAGGCACACTGCACACCACCAGCCACACTCCCCTGTTTTGTGGGGCAGGTCTGACCACAGGAGGCCTTCTTATACTACAAGCAGCTCAGCTCCTCTGCTACGTTAATTTAATGTCCTTTATGTCAGTAGTGCTTCGTGCTTTGGTGTATTTTTTCCTCTGACTGTTGCCAGTAATGTCTATGGATTGGAAGGGATAAGAGAAAGAAAAAAAAAAACAAAAACAACGAATAGGAAAAGTCAAGTCTAGGTGATGTTTTGTATCCATCATAGTTACTTCTACACAATAGAGCAAAGAAAAATCTAGCTTGGTCCTCTACGGAAAGGAGCATTGCTTACACTTAACAGAGATTCTGCTGCCACATGAAAGTGGAACTTTGGCCTATTCTTTATACTGATTTAGACGGCCAGACATTACAAGCAGTTTCTTATTTTGAAAACAATTGCACTTTTTCTTTTTTTTTTTTTTTTTTTTTTTTTTTTTTTTTCCAGAGAAAATAATAGGAGCAAAAAGGAGCTTGGAACACAAATGCAGGCACAGCTGACAGCGCCACATCAATGTGTGTGCATTGTCAGTATATCTGCTGAGGAAATGGAGAAGGAAAAGAGGTGCAGCTGGAGGCACACAGCAGTGTTTGTCTTCAGAGGGATCATCATAAACACAGGTGACATTTTCTAACTGGCCAAGCGAATGCAGTCAGAAATCAGTGTTACTTTCCTTGTCTAACTGCTGCTGTAGTGCAGATGCTGCTATTGCCAGGATAAATCGGCAGAAGGGCTCAGGGCACAGGCACAGGCCTCCCCTGCTGCTCTGCTGCCGCGCACGGCTGACAGTCACCCTTCCGGAGGGCGACGCTCCCTTTCTCTTGTTGCGCTGGCTCAGCACAGCGCTCTGCTCCTTGCTGCCTGCAGAGGGCTGTGCTGGCAGCGCCTCACCGCCGGGTGGGACACGCGGTGGGCATGAGGTGCAGCCTGGCAATGCCCTTGGTGTGCAGAGGTGCTTTGCAGAAGGCAGGGAGCTTTTCGTTATGCAACAACGTATTTGCAACAATGACAAAGTTGTTTTTCCTATGAGAAAATCAGTAGCGGAATGGGGAGGTGGAAGAAAGAGTGCCATTTAAAATGGCATTAGGAGACAATCATTCTTTGTATTTTATGTTGGCAGCTGGAGAATTGCTGTGATAAATTCCACAAGGGGATGGAGATTATTACTGGTTGTACAAGCACAGTGATTTGTTTCCTCTTCCATTTAATAGATTATACTCTGCTTTCCACACATTTCCTGGTGTGATGGGCAGGATGGAGTGGAAATGTTGTAGGATACCAACACTTACGAGCTTCCAGGAAAAAAAAAATTGTTCCTGATTCATAATTGCATGTATTATTTTTACCACTTTGCAGTGAGACAGAAGATGACTTTAAACACAGAAGTTATTATTTGTGTTTTCAAAACAAAAATGCAAAGAGGCACGTACACCATTTGAGTACACAGCAGGTCCCTGCCACTTGGTCCTACAGGTCAAACCATGCTGGGAAGCCTCGAGCTGAAGTTGAGCTGTGCTCAGAGGACTGCAGCAGCTGCTGGAGATGCCCACTGCCTCTGAACTGCCCATGCACTTTGTGGCCCCACCGCCCATCTGCTTCCAGCAGGCAGAAAAGTGAGCCATGTCTCTAAGCCAGGAGGGAGAGTTCCCCATCAGGAGAGCAAAGCTCCTTTTAGCTGTATTTATTGCCTCTCTTTAGGTTCACTTCAGAGCCAGGAACGTTGCATGTGAGTGAGCAGCTACAAAGGAGAGCTTCAATTAAGAACTGAACTCATAAATCCGTGGCAGTTTGTTTTCACCACAGCTGAAAGGCTCAAATGGTTTGATTTGATATTTGTCTCTAAAAGATTAACAGAGTCGAGGGCACAAATGACTGTAATGAATGACATGATGGATTCATCCATTGTTTTCACCTAGGGTCGGAGCTGAGCCAGCTGGCCAGGAAAGGACACCTTCTCTGTATGGTCAGCAATGAGCACACAGACCTGGCCCCACGGGCGCCATTCAATGCCCCTACATCTGCTCTGCACTGCACCCAGCTCAGCATTGCAGCGTGGCAGCTCCGTCCACCCTGCAGCACCAGCCAGCAAGCACAAGCACCATGGAGGCCTTCCTGGCAGCCGTCCTCCTGTCTGCACGCTGCATGCTCGTGCACAGAGCTCCTCCTCTCACCCCTCTGCTCCTCAGGTGTCTCCTGATGCAGCTCCCACCCAACCCCAGGTCCTTCCACCCTGTCTGTGGGGCTCTGCTTTGCTGTGTGCTGTCCCTGTGCTCTGGGGAATCTTTGATACCGTGGCTGTGCACGGATGTATTTCATCCTCTGGGGAAAAGAGAGAATGTGGGAAAGATGAAGTCTGCAGTTAAGTAAGCAAAAAAGGAGTTGAAGCAAAAAACCCCCAAATTCAAGCTAGAAAGAGGAGAGGCTGGAGGTGGAAGGGGAAGAAGATCATCCAGTTTGCATCCATCTCCCAAATGAAGAAGAGTGTAGGAAGGAACAAACTGCAAAAGAAATTGCCTAGATTCCTAAGCAGTGCTCCTGGGAGCATCGACAGCGTGGAGCAAGGAGAACTTCATCTGATTCACCCAGTGCTTACAGCTGCAAACATCCCATCCTCCAAAGCAGAGCTGTGCTCTGCATGCTGAGAGGAGACACAGCCCAGGCCCTCCTCAAACAGCATCCTGTCAGCATCCCAGCGCTGCAGCTGCGGCCCCACCAGTAGCAGACATCCTGGCAGGCAGTCTGCCCTTGTTTGTGGCCATTGTGTTGTGAAAATGACCTGGAATCCTCTTGTGGACACAGCTCCTGATTTATACTGCAGTAGGAAAGTCATCATCGCTGCCAGAAAAGACAAAAGACCATCAAACAATAGCCATGAATGAGGGCTATAAATGTGAGATGGGTGGTAGATAACTGCAGGTTCTTCCTCATGCAGACAATATCCAGCCTGGGAAGCAGGCCGTGTTGTTGCATGTTGGATGGGATATGGAAATTGAGTCCAGTCAATGAGAGGGTATCTGTGCTCATAACCATC